AATAATTTTTTTTAAAAAATAGGAATTTTAAAGAAAACCTATCTGTTTATTTATCGATCTATATAGGGTATACCCCCAAAATGTATATACTCAATGTCTGTAGATTCTATGAAATTTTGAAAAGGAAGTGTATTTTAATAAACACTGCCTTTATAAATCTTCAATATGTGTATACATTTTTAGGAACGCCCTGTATATATGTAGTTTTTTAATACTGAACTCTGGAAAGAGAGTATGTTAAGAAGAAAGGGAAAAAACTGGATAGATGTTTCCTATAACCCCTCTAGGTGTGGGCTATGCTCCAAGGGCCTTAAATCCATGCCCTTAGTTAATGCTCGAGTAGTACCCTGTGGACAGAGTTCCATTTGAACGGTGAGCAAACGAGCGCTCAGAGAGATCGGGCAGCAGGACTGGGATATGAACCGGGTTCGTCTGCTGTGAATGCCACGTCCTTGCCTCTGCGATCCTCGGGCCCTGCCCTTGCTGTGCTCCCTGGAGGCCAGGGTGTGTGGCCGCGGCGTATCTGTAACTGCATCCACTGCAGTCACGTAGCAGTGATGACTGGAGTGTTTCAAGTGTTTCTCCGTTCATTCCGTGCATGCCCTCCAAAGGGAGACAGGGCAGTGTGAGCCTTCCCCTCCACCCCTTCCCAGCCCTCACAACCTTTGGCCCTCTCTGCACTCCTGCTGGATATTGTCTCAGTTCCAAATCTCACGAGGTCAGTCAGTGATCGCTTAGCTCTGGTAACGCCGCCCTAGTTTGGCTCAGTGGATATAGCGTCCGCCTGCGGACTGAAGGGTCCCAGGTTCGATTGCCGTCAAGGGCACGTACCTCAGTTGCAGGCTCCTCCCTGGCCAGCCGGGGCCCTGGTCAGGGTGTGTGTGGGAGGCAACCATAGATGTGTCTCTCTGACATCGATGTTTCTCTCTGTGTCTCTCTCCCTCCCTTCCACTCTCTCTAAAAATCAATGGAAAAATATCCTCGGGGGAGGATTAAAAAATAAATAATAAGTTCTGCTAATGCCTACAGAGTAAGTAGAGGAAAGTGAAGACTAAAACCTGTGCTGCTTCCCTGCAGAAGACCTCTCCAGGGGAAAGTGTCCTCTCTGGGGATGCAGACATCAAGGTGCGTTTCCCTGCCTGAGCGGTTGGAGAGGGCTGTGCTACAGGCCAGGAAGTGGGTGACCTGTGAAACCCATTCACCAGTGACAAGCTTTCTCCATTAAGGACCCCTCTAGCCCCCGGGCACACAGAGGTGGAGAGCATGGCCTCCGGGGTCCGACTGGCTCCTTTCGGAGACTGTTCCATCAGCTCCTCCTGCACCCCCCCCCACCCCCAAAGGAGAGGGAGAGATAGAAACATCAGTGTTGAGAGAGAATCATTGATCGGCTGCCTCGTGCATGCCCCACACTGGGGATGAAGCCCACAGCCCAGGCATGTGTCCTGACTGGGAATTGAACCGTGATCTCCTGGTTCATAGGTCAACGCTCAACCACTGAGCCACACCGGCCCAGCTTGCCACTTCACTTTTATTACAAGTGAACATAGCAAATCCATGAAGAGGGAAGATTCAGACCTAAAGTCTTAGCCTTTCCTCCATCTCTCTATTTCTCTCTCTCTCTCTCTCTCTCTCTCTCTCTCTCTCTCTCTCTCTCTCTGTCTCAACCCCTCTCCCTAATCACTCCTTGGAAAGCTCCTTCCTCAGGGTTCTCTGAGATTACAAGCGACCCCTACCTAACTTGGATGAGTGCCAACAGAGGGGAAACCATCCAGGGTGATCTTTTCGGCTGGACTCATCTCTGTTATGTTTCCATCTTGCTCCATACGTACAATAGCAATGGACTACTTCCTGCACAGGCTTCCTGGAACAGTCCCTGCCTGTCTCAGCCACAGACACCCCCAGGGCGGCACAGTCACTAGGAGGCAGCCTTGCGTCGTTTAGAACTTCCTTTGAGCAAATCAACATTCATGGCAGAATGCTGAGAAAGGTGTTAGATGGACGTAGCACCATTCTTTTTATTGTAAATGCTCACCCGAGGATATTTTTTCCATTGGTTTTTAGAGAGAGTGGAAGGGAGGCAGGGAGGAGAGGGGGAAGGAGAGAGGAAAGACAGAAAGAGAGAGAGGGATTTGAGAAACACATTCATTGGTTGCCTCCCACACGCACCTCAACCAGGGCAGGGATTGAAACCTGCATCCCAGTTATGTGCCCTTGACTGGGAATCAAGCCTAAGACCCTTGGTCCAAGGGGCCAGTGCGATGACCACTCACCCAAACCAGCCAGGGCCATAGCACCAATTGTGAGACTGTCTTGAATATTGTAAATTTGTTGATAAGGACTGAAAGGCATTTGATCTTCTTGTTCTTACCTGTAGGTGTGGGAACTTGAGACTGGCCTCCAAATATACCAGATTCTAGACCCTCACGGCTTCAATGTTGAACTGACTTCCGCCGCTATCGATGACAGTGGATTTCTGTTTGCCACAGGAGCGTATAACGGTCAGACTAAGATTCAGAACACGGCCTCCCTGCGTTAGTGCGCTGAGAGTTGGCTCAGGAAACCCATTAGTAGTTTGGGTCGCAGGGAGGGCACGAGCCTGGCTGGACCACGTAACCATGGCAGCAAGATCACAGCGCCTGACGGGAGCGTGATAACTCTTCTCTGATGGGCATTCTTGTCCTGAGACTGTAATCAATACTTTCCATTACATCATACAGCTGCTTTACAGTTTGCAAAAGTCTTCCCCACATACAGTCTTCCTCCATCTTTGCTGGGACTTATCTGTGTTGCACTAACTCATCCAGTCCTACTTTTGGGGACCATCTGCTAAGATATACATATTAGGTTCCGTGGTTGTTGATAATATTTTTATTGACAGTAGATTTGGGGGCCACACAAAATATCCAGCCAGCTTTGTCATAGAGCACCTAGAATTCTCCTTTCGACTTGTCTATATCCGTGTGAGCTCCTTGGGGTTAGGTGCTGTGTACACATTGGAGGCTCAGGCTGTGCTGTGTTGTTTTGTGTGTGTGTGTTTTAAATATTTTTATTGATTCTAGAGAGGAAGGAAGAGGGAGAGAGAGATAGAAACATTAATGATGAGGGAGAATCACTGATCAGCTGCCTCCCACAAGCCCCCCACTGGAGATCAAATGCACAATGGGGCATGTGCCCTGACCAGGAATTGAACCGTGACCTCCTGGTTCATAGGTCGACGCTCAACCATCGAGCCATGCTGGCTGGGCTGTGCTGTTTTGTTTGATGTCCCTCGTGTTGGGGAGCAGGACATGGAACTTCCAGGAACTGGAGCTACAGCCTGCTTCCCGCTCACTTCATTGTGTTGTAAACTCCCAGCAAAGAATTGCTTTATCTAGACCAGTGATGGCAAAACAAAAACCCTAACTTAACTCTGGTGCCGTGTCACATATAGAATTTTTTTGATATTTGCAACCATAGTAAAACAAAGACTTATATTTTTTACATTTATTTTATATATTTAAATGCCATTTAACAAAGAAAAATCAACCAAAAAAATGAATTCGCCTGTCACCTCTGACACCCGTGTCATAGGTTCGCCATCACTGATCTAGACCAACTGCACGCACTGCTCACAATACATTTATTCTAGGGACATATTTGCCGGCATGAAAGCCCATTGATGGATTGAGTGGACATCCTGATATAAAAGTCTGCTTTTTATTCTTTTAATATGTTTTTATTGATTTCAGAGAGGAAGGGAGAGGGAGAGACAGAGAAACATCAATGATGAGAGAGAATCATTGATTGGCTGCCTCCTGCATGCTCCACCCCCATGAAATAAAATTGCCCCTGCTGAGTGGATGCGGTGTGATGGAGTGAATGCAGCTGCTCTCTCATGGGACAGTTCCTAAGAAAGCAGTCCCCTACTCTTAGCAACCCTGCACAATGTGAAAATTAGTCATAATGGAAATTCTGAGCAAAGGACACAGCTGTTATCAGACATAAGCATTAAACAATTCAATGTGACTGAGATGGCACTATTTTCATGCACGCATAATATTTTATTGCATTAGTCATACAGTCCAGAGGGGTTTTAAGTATTAACAGTTAAGGGAGGGGAAGCAAAGTGCTGTGAGGGGCAGCCCACTATACCTAGCACTGAGGTGACCCTGTGATCTTACTATTGCAGTGATGATCTTTCTATTAAGAACAACTGTGGCAGGCCCAGCAGGTGTGGCTCAGTGGTTGAGCATCCATCCACCTATGAACCTGGAGGCCACAGTTTGATTCCCTGTCGGGGCACATGCTGGGTTTGCAGGTTTGATCCCCAGTAGGGGGCGTGCAGGAGGCAGCCGATCAATGATTCTCTCTCATCATTGATGTTCCTCTCCCTTCTCTCTCTCTCTCTCTTTCTCTCTCTCTCTCTCTCTCTCTCTCTCCCTTCCTCTCTGAAATCAATAAACATATTTTTAAATAATAATTGTGGCATAATGTTAGATATACAAATGGATAGATATCAGGGGTATTTAGCAAACTGGAAAGCCTTGGGAGAATAAAGGCAGAAGAGGTCCTTTTGAGACAGAAAGCTCAGATAGGAGAGTTCAAAGAAAATGGTTGCAATTTCAAGACATGGCCTGGTCCCGTTTCCTGTTTGTCAGCCTGTGTCCAATCAAGGCCCACAGAAACATACACTGTGCACGGCAAGGCCAGGGAGACTCACATTTCAGTAGGAAACAGACATAGGAGAAATCGTGGGCAGAAAGCTTTCAATGAGGTCCGTGTTCTCTGAGATAAGAGCCCAGCTTCCGATCAGTTCCTTTCCACCCACCGCGTCTCCCTCTGTGCCCAGGAACCGTGAAGATCTGGGACTTCGGCAGCGGGCAGGAGCTGAAGGTGCTGCCCGAAGGGAAGGACTGGAAGGAGGAGGAGCACTGGGTGAAGCACCTGGCGTTCCTGAAGGTGCAGGAGAAACACCAGCACCTGCTCCTCGTCTTGGAGCACAACGGGAAGATCAAAATGATGCAGGTTTGCCATCCCCCGTTGACACCTGTACTCTCTCTGCTCTTCTTGGGAAAACCAGCTGAGTCTGAGGGACCATCCCCATTAAACTCCTCTCTTGCCGGCCAGTGGAGGATGGCGTTTCCCCATCCACCACCGTAGGAGGCTGCTAAGAAAGCTTGCCCAGGTCCAAGCAAAGAGCCAAAAAGGCCCTGGCTGGATTGGCTCAGTGGAGAGGGCGTCGGCCTGCAGACACAAGGGTCCCGGGGTTGATTCCCGGTCAAGGGCACATACCTCCATTGCAGATTTCATCCGCAGTAGGGGCCATACAGGAGGCAGCTGTCAATGATGTTCCTCTCTCATCATTGATGTTTCTATCTCTCTCTCCCTCTCCCTTCCTCTCTGAAATCAACAAAAACATATTAGAAGAACAAAACAAGAAAACAACAACAAAGAGCCAAAAAGAAGAGCTGCTCAGCCCGGCCAGTATGGCTCAATGGTTGAATGTCAACCTATGAACCAGAAGGTCATGGTTCGATTCCTGGTCAGGGTACATGCCCAGGTTTCAGACTTGATCCCCACTGTGGGGCATGTAGAAGGCAGCCGATTAATGATTCCCTTCATTGAAGTTTCTATCTCTCTCTCCCTCTTCTTCTTCTCTGAAATCAATAAAAATATATTTAACAT